ATATATATATATATAGATATATATATATAGATATAGATATATATATAGATATAGATATATATATATATAGATATATATATATAGATATATATATATAGTCTTCTTTTCTTTCTTGGAGGTTTACAGAGGGACACTGGGAACACTAACTGACTGACAGCATGGAAGCTTGCAAATGTCCACATGCATGATAACCTCATTGAAATCTCTAAAACATTGATGGATTTATTTAGAAGAGACAGTACCTGGTCGGTAAGTAGGAAGGTGCGTACGTGTGTGTGTGTGTGTGTGTGTGTGTGTGTGTGTGTGTGTGTGATATTGTAACTGCACCAAAAGCTGAATGGGATCATGACACAATGAAACCCAGATGTACAGCTTAGAAAAAGAAGGAGACAGAATAAATAATGAGGGATGGTGACCTACAGATGAGAAGACATTGCAGCGTGTTTTGTGTGCTTTTGCTTCATTCTGCTGATCGGCAGAATACCCTGACGGTGTCTTTTCTACAGATGGTTTAGTACCACGACACCCAACAGGACTACAATGTGATGGGAGGACGGGATACAGTACTGTCTCTTTAAAACAAACATCTACAAAAATGTTGCCTCCTAGCTAGTACAGACATGACAATATTCACTTTTGTTTAAACTCTGTTTTTATACATCACTATGACGAGGTCGTCTGTCAGGGCAGGAGGCCGTTAATTGGCCGCAGGTTGTTTGTGCGGCGGCGTCCAGGAGGATCTCGGTTGAATGCTGTGGTTGCTTTCACAGTACACTGAGAGAGAGGGGGGGGGGTCCATCCATTGCAGTGCAGAGAGACGTTTCCCTTTGTTGTTTGTTAAAGTTTATTATTTATTCTTACTTCAAAGAGGGAATGATGGGAGTTTGGCCGAGGTGTTGCTGCTGGGAGGGGAGGTGGTGTCTGAGGGCTGCAGGTCAGTAGACCCAGGACACGGGAACCCACTGGCTGGTGGTGCACACCAGATCGATGGCCTCCTCCAGGTGCCTGATGGTCTCATCGATCTCGTTGTTGATGATGGTCTGGTCAAAGTAGTGGGCGTAGGTCTTCTGCAGGATCTCTGACTCCTTCTGCAGCCGCTGGAGCGACTCGTCCTGCAGGAGGAGGAGGAGCACTGGGAGTTAGACACTGATGAAGGCAGAGAGAGTGATGAAGAGCACTTATAGGACTGACAGAGACATTCTTAAGGCCCTTACATACTGTGTGATGGAGCTATTCAAGACGAGAAACATGTTTGGTCGTCGATCCAGAACTGTGGTCAGAAATGCAAAGAGTTCTCCTCCCTACCGCTGAACACGGGTTTCTTATTTGAACTGCATAAGTTCTAGAAGACGTCTGGACTTTAGTGAGCGAGGATGGACGAGCGAGAGAGCGAGAACATGGTGTTTGAATTAAAGACAAAAAGCTGATACGATTGATTAGTCAATCAAACTGTATATTTTGGGGTTTTAGCCTGTTGATTGGACAAAAACAGACCAGTAGAGCATCAACTCAAAGGCTCTATTTGATCCCTAATGCTCACAATTTGGCTACTATGAGAAATATCGATGTATCACCTCTTGTGTAGTTTTTTTTTTTCTGCTAACATCGTGGTAAATCACCAGACATTTCATCGTATTAGACCTACAGTGTGACATGCATTCAACCTGCTGCTACAGCACAGTGTGCAAGGGCCTTGAGCAAGACACTGAACCCCCGGCTCCCCGGGCGCCTGTCATTGGCAGCCCACTGCTCCCTATATACAGGGATGGGTCAAATGCAGAGGTCAAATTTCGTGTATGTGTATATGACAATAAAAAGGGTTTCTATTCTATTACTCAGCAGAGGGGGAAGTGAATGGGAAAACACAGAATGCGGCACTAACCACTAGAAGCATACAAAGAAGCATATGGCAAACAACACACACACACACACACACACATAATTAAAAATAACACGACGTAGTGACGATCCCGTCAGGCTTTACTTACTGGCAGCGTTCGACACCACCTGGGCATCTGAGAGGAGCGCCAAAGAAAGGAACGCATGCAGCATGCAAAAGTAAAGAAGTGCAGAGAGGACTGAGAGACGCAAACACACGAGAGGAGAGCCGACACAACGAGAGGCTGCTGGAGCACCAGCACGCTGTGTGACGGTCGCGCTGCACACGCCGACTCTGCAGAGTTTAACATGTAATTAAAGGACATATGTGTCATTGACTGACATGTAAGTGAGTGAGTTTAGTGAGTATTTGTATGTGGGATTGGGCCAAAATAAACTACAGTGTGTGTGTGTGTGTGTGTCACATGTCACCCAGTGCAATAGTGTGGCTCAGTGATTTTAATAGTTCTTGGACAACAATGGAGCTCTATAGTGCAGAAGAAGAAGAATAAGAATACTCGATCGTAGACACACTCAAGAAATAAAAGAATATCACCAGCCTTGTGCTGCATTAACAGTGTGAGCACACAGCAGCATTGTACAAGTCATTGTCAATGGAGGCCGGTGACATGAAACTGGAAAATGACACGCGCCACTTGTCGCTGCATGATGTGCTACAAATCACACTAACGATTGAGTCCATAAACTCCTGTTCACGTTTACGGAGGGAATAAATCAAATGAGAAGTAGAGTCATCTTCTCATAGACTTCTATACAACCAGAGGAGTCGCCCCCTGCTGGTCAGTAGAGATAATGCACAGTTCCCGGTGCCATTTGGAGACGTGACCACGTCAACGAGTGTTCGTGTAACACCTTCACTAGCCGTCGATGTAGCCGGACATGCTTTCTTTTTTTAATGCCGTTTTGTTGCTTTTGTTGTTCGTAGCGTGAACATATTTGTGTGTTTGTGTGTATTCCTACCTCATTGATGCCTGGCGTAATAGTTGGTGCAGCAATGAAGACGACGTACGGGGCAAACTCTGCTGTCCGCAGGACCTTCAGGGCCTGATGGAGAACAGGTGTTAGAGGTCAAAATGTCCTTACATATGCATGCATGCATGCACACACACACCCACACACACACCTGAGGTTCCACGTCCAGTATAGCTATGTGTCCCTGTTGGTGGATCATGCGGATGGTCTCCAGCCGCGTCCCGTACATGGCGTCCTCGTGGCTGCCGTACTCCAGGTACTCGTTGTTGCTGATGTCCTGCATCATCTGGTCGTGGGAGACAAAGTAGTAGTTCTTCCCGTTCTCCTCGTCCTTCTTTGGAGGTCTGGTTGTGTCTGCGGGACACCAGGAGACACGGAGCATTTACATTTCCTGACACACAAAACGGTGCTGTTCAGTGCGTTTCTGTGGAGGACCTGGATCATGCGTCTTACGTGGAATGGGGTACGCGAATCTGTCGGGGTGTTTGGTGATGAGTGTGTTCTTGATGTGTCTTCTGCCCACTCCATGGGCCCCTGACAAACACACACACACAGTCAGTGAGGTCAGATATGAAGACAGGCGTCCCCGTTTCTTGCTGCTACACTCGGCAGAACTCACCTAACAAAACTAATGTTTTCCTCTTGAAAGCAGGAAGCTTCACGACCTCTTCATACGTGACGAGATCTAGTTGGTCGAACACTGGAGGTGAGAGAGAGAAACGGAGTAAGAGGAGGAGGAGCAAAGTGTGCTGGAACAAACAGCAGTTAGAGGGGAACAAGGCGCACTAACAAGAGTCTGAAACACATCTGGTGACTATGTGGTGAAGAGAGGAGCGAGTTGGGTCACTCATCAAAACAAATAAAAACAACTGGAGAGCTGAGATGATCTGTGAAGTGATGAAGACTCCTTTAAAATAACCGCTCTGCTCCGAGATTAAATAAATCTGACCGAGCAGATGTTCATCTAGTAAAAGGATGATGAGAGAAAAACAAAAACTCCACCAGGATGATGAAAGTATAACGACTTCACCTCTCTGACTGGCTGCATAAAGAAACAACTCCGCCCAAAGTGATTATTTCTGTGATTTCTCAAAGTCTGGCGTTTGTTATCCAAACATTCACAGTTGTTTATGACTTCATTGTGTTGTAACAAGAACTATTGTAGAAAAGGAGCTAAACTGGATTAAATAAAAGGGGGAAAAAATCAATGTCTCCAGCATCTAAAATGTGAATATTTCCAACTTTTCTTCGTCTTCTTTGACAGTTAATTGAAAATCTTCAATTTAATTGTTCCAACTTGGGCTTCGATACACTTTGATTGGCATGTTTTACTCTTTTCTTACAATTTATTGACCAAATTATTGCTAATTTACCAACATTTTATCTTTACAAAATGAGCTCAAGGTTGCACATTTAAAGTCTAACACCCAAAACGATTCAGTTAACAATCACATATGACAAAGAAAAGCTTCAAATGTTCACAATAGAAAAGCTGAAACCAAACATATTTGATAGAATGATTTATTTATTACCCGTCTATCGACTGTTTTAATTCTGGTTTCTGATTTACATCGTTTCTAAACTTCAGCAACTATCTCTTCTAAATATGAACTTGCTTTCTTAAGTTAACACAACTGCACATATTAGTTATCCTGTATTCAAACTGTCGTAACAGAACTATTACCTTTAATGTATTCTGTAATAATAGTCATTAAATGTAATGCTAGGTATGATGTACCTGCACAGAGCAGGACAAATCACAGAGCAGCATAAATGAGCAGATTGCAGGTTGTCTGCTGTACAGAGTGTCTCTGTGAGAGCAGAGCTGCTCACTGTACAATATGTTCTCAGCCTCTGTAACACGAGCCCCCACCTCAGGGTGCTGACGAGTGAAATACAATACCCACAAGTCACTGGGTTATCTTGTGCAATAGGAGGCTGCAGACCGGCTACAGACTGACGGTGAATCATTGTTTAAAAATAGAAGAAGAGAAGATACTGTATGTAGTTAACGCCAGAGTCTAATTATATTTACATTACTGTCTTCTGGCTCTGCTAACGAGCACACTTGACCAAACATGATTTTAAAAAAAATGGGTTAAGATGAAGATCACAGCACACGATATCTGACTAACTAAGCTACATGGCTTCAGTTTGGTCTCAGCCTTCTGTTGTTTTAGGACCAAATCAACAGAAACAAAAGTGAAACGCTGGCAGTGACAGCTGGCTTAATCTACAGGAGCGAGAGAAGAAGAAGAAGAAGAAGAAGAGAGGAGGAGGTGGTTGCTGTCACTGGTTGTTACTTACATGCAGAGAGGCCGTTCAGTAGGAGAAAGCGAGAGCGATGGAGAGGGGTCATAACATGGTTCAGTTACAACAGCAGTTACAAAATGTTACACACAGACAGCAAGATTCAACAGCTGGGCAGCACTGCACAGCGCCAACAACGGAGACGGAAATAGTACACAAGACACTGCTGCTGCTGCCGAAGGGTGAACTCCCAGTGACACGTCACTGAGCGGTAAAGACTCCGCAGAGACGTCAAGAACAGCAGCAGCTTTCAGGGGAACAGAGACAGTGTCCAGGGGAAATGTGGACTTCTTCACATAAATTAGGTTGAACTTTAATCAGCAGATAATTGGTCATAACACGTTTGTTTGTTATTCTTTCAATTCTCTTAGTTTATAGTAAAATGTTATTCTGTGAGGTGGCAAAGAAGTCCAGCCGTTACAGAGCTCACCTGAGGATATTACTCGAGCCGTTTACCATTCAAATGTTTTAAAACAACAATAGTTAGTATTATTACAGCATCATAACAATGTTTAATAACTTTGTTCTTCCAACTGTTTTGTGTGAAAGAATAAAGACATTTGCTGGTTAACCACCTTCTCTTCTCTTCATTCACACAAAACAATTCTACTTATTTGTCTGTTTCATTTGCTGGCGGAGCTCACAGATGAGGTTTGGAGAAGACGTCTCTGTTTCAGTGCTGACAATAGTTTTCTCTACGCACTCTCACAGATGCACACGGCACAAAAACATGCAAAGAAATGTAATTCCTGGGAAATACAAGAATCTCAACGCCCTGTTTCAACCCTACTTACTTCTACCATGGGAACTATCAGTGTCCTGGTTTACTGCGATGAGTGGAAGTCAAAGTGAAGTCTTCTGTTTAAATACTTTGGATCCCATGCATTCATGCTTTTATGACTACATAACTATTATGTTCTGAGCTGCATGCTATAGAACATTTCAGCAGTTCCTTTTCAATGGACATTGACAGACGTGCTTATTATCTGGATGTTCAGATGCAAACACACACCCAAACATACTGTACACACACACACACACACACACACACACATACGTTATACCTTAGTCTTTTGAAAAAAAAAAAAAAAAAACGACATGCACGGATGTGACATATAACAAGTATTTAAGAAATAGAAGCTCCATTTATCGTCTTCCTGGTGTTCAAAGTGCTTGATAGATGTCTGAACAGCTTGATTTGCTCTACAGCTGCTGAACTGTAGGATTTGGGGGGTTCGTCCTCACGTGAAGACCAGTTTTTAAACACAGTTTGTTCTGGTCTCAGCTGGAGTGTGACCTCAAAATCTCTGCTACTGCTCAGTGAGCTCATGCGCCACAAGCACCTGCTGCTCAGCGCACATACCGTACAGAAGGTGTGACGCCACCCTGCACTCTTTGCACCGCTCCGTTCTGCTTGTTTGAGCCTCTCGTCACTGGTTACCAGTCGGTTTGAGAACGGGTTCTAAGGTTATAATGATCACATTTAAAGCACTTCACGGTTCAGCCCATAGCTACGCTGCTGATGTGCTGCTCCTCTAGGAGCCGCGGCGAAGCCCCTGATCCTCGAGGCTCTGCTGGCTCTTCCTGAGTCCCGGCTCAGGACTAAAGGACCAGGCTTTTGCGGTCAATGCCCCGCAGCTCTGGAACTCGCGGCCTGAGGATTTCATTTCATTTTAAGTGACCATAAGCCAAAAAGGTTGGAAACCACTGTCCAAAATCCACTTTATCAACCTGCATCGACACAACATAAAAGAGTTTCTACAGACCAAAAAAGGTGAAAGGCGGAGCCACAGCTTTCTGTCTGTTCAGGAAACAAAAACCTTTCCCACCTCCTGTTGCTGTCTCGTCACTAAACTCTCACGCTGACCTCCTCCTCCGCCTGCCGTGTTTACTCAACAGTCACGACTCAGGTCGCAAACTCAGGTGTTGAGCTTTTACTCCTCGACATCTCCGCCTGCTCAGCGAGCCAGACACATGTCGGTGATATTTGAGTAGTGACTCTATGGTATGTGCTACATCCGTGTCCAGTCGTCGCTAAACATAAACTGTACTTGACACCACGCGTTTACTGAAGGGACAAATGGGACAACTTTAAAACTGTGCATCAAATTCAGAGTTATTGGCTCAAAACTGGACTCAACGAGCTGCCCACACTTCCCAAAACCATCCCTGTGCTCATATAAGATTTCTGCTGCACTGACAGCTTTTCCTGTCTTTCCTGGCAGAGGCTCCGCCACAGGAGACGAGTGCTACGAGATCCTGTTACATACGAGTTCCACCCACAGACAGACAGACAGATGGACTGACATGCATGCTCTCAAGCCCTCACAAACAATGTGCTGACATACATGCATGTTGTTCAGTGTGCACATGCATGATTATGGATGTGTGCGAGTGCATGGTGTACCTGCGTTGTGCTTTGCCAAATACTTGTCTTTGTACTGCTTCTTCTTCTTGCTGAACCAGGTGCAGCTGGCCTGCTGCTCCTGCTTGGTCTTCTCCATGGCTATACACGCCACGCGCCTACCACACACACACACACACACACACACACACACACACACACACACACAC